GCACATTCCATTTGCTTGTGGAGTTTATGGGCAGATGCTTAAAGCCTCTCTGCTGTTTCTATTTTCTAACTCCCTACATAATTTTTTTTTTTTTTTTTTTTTGGCCCACTGCAGCTGCAAAGGAAGATGCTATAAAACTGAATGAAACATTCAGAACCCAAGATGAGACTTTCGAGAAGAGTCTTCCAGAACTGCAGAGTGAGGCTGACAGAATGATCGCAGAGTTGAGAAGCAGAGAGATGAATATGCAAGAAAGAATAGCTCAAGATGAGTTAAAGTGAGTAGAGATCTCAATCTTCAACCTCCCAGTGATAATATATGACTCTTGTAAATGTGATTGTTGTATTTTCCAAGCAATTTTTCAAGCTGGGGCTTACAGAAGTGTGAAGGAAAACAGATTCTATGATTCTATGAATACTTGTAATACTTTGATATGGAGTATATGGGATGGAATACCTCACTGGGAAGTTTAGGGTCACCTGTCCTGTCCACTCCTCCCCGCAGGTGTAGCCTTTTACTTTCTGCACCCCCAACATGTTACATAAGATTTAGCAGTGACCTTGGTCTGCACACCAATCCTAGGTAGTAACTGTAAGCATTGAGTGTTATCACTGCTAGAAGCAGGCTGCGAAAATACACTGTTAGCTTCAGAACATGCAGTTAGTTGGAAGAGACTTAGCTGAAAAGTGAAATCACTGAAAGGATTTAGTTCTGTTCTAACTCAAACTAGGGCATGTCGCATTACATGAAATTGATTTAATGGCCTGGTGTCATGAGGCAGACAAATAACAGGGCATAAAGGCTCCAGTACTTCAGTTGTTTAAAACTGAGTGCAGCAACTATCTGTTGATCAAGAAATATTCCATCCCCTGCCAAAAGCAGGCACTTGTGAACTTTCTATTTCTGTGTTGCCAAAGCCTGTGAAATATTTGAGAATTTATTTTAGATAAGTAAAATTCTGTGACTACTGGAAGTCATAAATCCAAGGATCCTGGGGGTTATTTATTTCACAGGAAGCTGTTTATGATTGTTGGCTATCTAAATCAGTTTTTCTGCTCAAAGACAGCTTGCAATCGGGCATATCTACATATACCCCTCAGTGCAAGGTAGCAAACCACTTTGTGTTGTGTCATGTTAATGTGAATGAGGGAAATCTTTTTGACAAATTGAAATGTTTTGGAAAACCTCACTTTACTAGACAGCTCTTAAGAATGGCAACTTAAAAAAAAAAAAAAAAAAGACAAAGCAGTTTCAAATGGAGAATATTTTAATATTTTCTACTTCATAAATAGGACCTTAGTGGCATTTAAAAACCTCTTTAAGAAAGAGCTTAAGAACAACTGTCATTTCACTTTATTAAGCCTGTGTTCTCTTCAAAGTTACTTTAAGATGTAATTTAGAAGTCTGTTTCATTTGCATGCTATTAAGGATATTCAGATTGTGTAGGGA